GCCAATATAGCTGCAAAAAATACGCCTAATTTAGTCAATGACAAGAAAATGCCACGCTGAGATTTTCCTTTTATTATAAAGAATATTTCATTCAAAAAACTTCTAAGATTTTAACTGTTGAATCTTTAACACTAGTCGTACAATAATTGTCAATGGATGTGTCAATATACAGTTCTACTTCAACACTCTTTATTATCTACACTTACTTCATGTTATTCTTTAGTCAAAATCTTTTTTATTTCTTATGTCAATAACAATTTAAATCATCTATGATGACTCAATGGCTGTCTTAATGTTACCTTGACTTCTCGTAATTTATCTTATTATCTATAAGCTTACAGTGCACACAATAATCTCTATATAAAAACATATACCCACGTCCCCCACCCCACCCCACTCCTATACCCCAACTGTTGCTGCACTGTTCAGTGTCATGGTGATTCAATGGCTGTGTTAATGTTACCTTGACTTCGTTATCATATTAAAAAGTCATTATCTTTATACTCAATTATATTCATAAGCTTATAACCTCTCCCAAGACATCCCCCCCCCCCCCCCACACCCCTCCTCCTATATCCCAACTGCTGCTGCACTGTTGATAGCTCATAATATCTTTGCAATTAGCTAGGTCTCATAAAACGCTTAATCTTAATTTAAGTGGAATTGCAAGACATCTCAATGAAAATTGGTATGGTGCATATCAATGCTATCAGTTTCCCTGTTACACATATAAAGTTTCCTTCTAATAGACAAAATATTTCACTTGTACTGTATATTATTTTATCCTATCTATATGATGATATCGACAGGTTATCATATGTGAATAATAAATACTAACTTCTAACTAGCCGATAGATGACCTTTTACTCTTTCTCCAGTACTAAAATAGATATAGACCATTGTGCCAATATATCATGTGTTTTACCATCTTACTGGCACTAACATCTAACAAAACATTATCACATAAGATATTGTTTAACATAAAGAGTGAGTATCGGAATACAATGGACGAACCTCACTCATGTGTTCATAATATCTCACAAAGGAGCTTGGAGAAGATACCATAGTGTGCCTAGTACAATCAAAAATGCTTGACAATTTCAAGCACTATCTGGAAAATGGTTTTCTTTGCAAAAACTTCAGGCTTTGGCCCAGATTTTCCAGGATATTTTGTATTTTTCAACATTGGTTTAAGTGTTGCAGGTCAACATGGCTGATATGGAAAAAGCATCTACTCCTTGGGATTGGACAAAAAATGAGGCCCTATGAACTACAGACTGGAAAAAAAGGGTAGGCTTATGCCGCAGTTCTGATTAAATTTCTCTCATTGCACACTGCATTGCATTGCCCTTTTAGCACATTCAGTGTGCACATAATAGGAGGATGTTTAACTCCATTCATTTCATATTAGAACCGGTTATAATGTATTTTGAAATCTGACCAACTAACACTAGTTTATTACTCCTCACTATCTTCAAAATCTATCAACTTGTAATCTCTGAAGGTGAAATTTCAGTGCCAATAAAAACAAATTGATAAACATGTACATTCTGACATCACTGGTGTTCTACTGCTGTGATATTAATAGTCATTTCTCTAGAATATAATATCAAGTTATTATGAGTCATATCAATTTAGACATTCCTCCCATAATTTATGTCCCTTTATTGGGGAGGGTAATTTACTGTTAATTTGTCCCTCAAACAGTGCCTTGTCTACGCCATGTAATAACTTACAACTACTGGAAAGCAATATAATGACATTTCCTTGATCAGCATTGTCTACTGCATTGAATTTTTGCAGATTTCAATGACTAAAGTTATACAGAAATTTCTATCATATATTGGTCAAAGCACTTTAGATGACCAAAGTAGGCAACATTCATTTTCTTCAACTGCTTCTTTCTAGTAGCCAAAACTATCTGGAATAAGTCACTTCAGTTTTCTAGGTGCAGGTTTAAATCAATTGTAATTTTCAATTTTTAGAATTATGCATTGCAAAAAAAATTTCTATTGCACGAAATTAACTAAACTTAAAACTTTGACAAAAAATTGTTAAAAACCTATTTGAAAAGAAATAAAAACTATTTATCAATTAATCAAGATAACTCTCAATAAACAGTAAAATCAGGAATCAAGCCTCTAACTGATTATTCTGATAAAAAATTGATGTGGATGCCATCTGTTAAAGGTATCTAAAGAATATCAGGCTAGAATACATGGCATGGCATCAATAGAGAGATGTAGCGCTACCGTTAACACAGAACCATATTCAGTAAGGCGCTAAAAACTGATAATAACTTACCTATCTATACATATCCTAATTAATCACGCCTAATTAATTGCATCTAATTATATACAGTTTAAGGTATAATCCTTTATACAATATTATACTCCTTGATAAATATGATAGCTGCACAAACACACACACTAAACTATCCAATACACAATCCTTACAAGCCCACTTCCACTAGAACAATGATGTCATGAACAGACTATAAATAGTTGTGTGGATTATAGGAACTCTTCACATTGATGAATAATGAGGTTGTTTCAATCGCTATAAATTCTACCTGCTATCAGCATTTAGATACCAGTCTGAATATATACAGATTCAAATTTCTAGCCTCAAACCTCAAGCTATTGAGCTATTGTGTGACCAATTGAAGCTAGTGGATAGAAATGCCCCAGGCTATATCAGTTAGTGCTTTAAATAACCTACAGCAGCCTGAACTAGCAATTGGTGAGAGGCTTAAAATGCTATTATACTGTAATAAAAAACATAATAACAAAAACAGTTATTCAACAAGTCAAAAATATACAGAAACATGCACCAGTATATCCTATGTATATACGATATATATAATACCTGCTGAATGTTTAAGATGATTTATGAATATAGAGCTTAGTGCCCATTCATGATAGTTTGTAAATATACAAAATCAAACAAATACACCGATACTTCCTTATGTTCTATAGATTTTCAAAAGCACCGAGGTAATTGAAAGTGCAAAAAGCAAAAGATTTAAATCCTTATAAATTGCTGTATATAAGATTATAACAGATCGTAGAAAACTTGATAAAAGACTTTAAAAACAATAAGGCGTCTATGAACCAAACTAAATAACATTTTGCCAATATCATTCTGCATGTTAAAAAAAGTGGAATATGCATCATTCCCTATATTATAAAACTATTAAGTATATTTTCATTTAAACCTTTACTGAAATCTAAATGTGCCAAATTTCTATAAACAAGAGATCAAAAACAGCTATGAAGTAACAAATATATATATAAATGAGGGTGTTAGCATCAAATCACTCTTCCACCCCATAAAACAAACACAAAGACAATTTCAGACACCCTAATATACATATAATATATCCCTGTTATTAGTTTATAGATTGTATTTCTTTCATATCTCTTTTGAAAATTCCAGGTGAAAAGATAATGATAATAAGGAAAATCACAAATATCAATTCAAATAAGAACTGGTAATGAGTATTATAATTTACTAATCATTATCACTAAGTGGTCTTCAGTTAGACTGTGTTATTTATTTTCAATCGAGGAATCAAATATAAAAATGTCCCGGTAATGTAAGTCAATGCAATCAGCTTTTGCGCTGAGTCAGACCCTACTAACTTAGACCTTTGCAGTCTACAGTTACAACATAGCTAAAAACATAAAAAAAAATTGCAATCAATGTCCTTATCATGTTAACACTATGGTTGTTTTATTATTATTTTTGAAATAAAGTGACAGTGAAAGGGTGTCAGAATCATCAAGAGGTGGATTGACAATCAACAAGTCGAGGACTCATACAAAAAGAAAAGGTTTGTTTACATTCCATATTTATCATATCAGCATAATTCAGACTCGGTGCCAAAGCCAAAACTCATTAGAACAACATAATCATTCGATTTTCTCTACTTAAACAGGTAGAATCACCCTATGACAATCATACAATGATACTCGAAGGCTCACAGACAATGTTTCAATAATGCAATCGGCTGAGTGAATGAAGAAATCAGCTGATCTGTAATGAATTGTAAAAATCGCGAAAGCTTACCGATCAACCATGCAGCCATTCATCCAGTCACGTGACGAGAAGGGGCGTGGTCAATGCTTATATATTGGGATGAGTTCGTTTCAAAGTACTGTATTTTGATCTGGTTCGTTTTGTTGGGAGTAATAGTATAGGTCCTTAAAGTTGCAAAAAACTGTACAAAAGATTTCATTTACAAAAAACAATCAGTACATAAATTATGCTGTTGTTTGAAGGACGCTATTGATCCATGATTATAATTTAACACGTTAACAAAATACCTTTTTCATGAAGAATATTACTGTATATTTGTGTGTATAATACGCAATGATTTAATTCAAAGATAGGGCTTGTGGATAGGCACTTAATACAGCCCCAAAAAAAAAATGAAGTTCCACGAGTCTACGCTGACAGTTTGCCATTTTGCATTATAATTGCAATATGACACCTGATAATGATGTTTTGGGAATATTTGGAGTCTAAATTTTTTCGGAAAGGATTTTCGGATGCTCTATATTGTTTTACCGTAGAATTAACGGATATTCCAAGCAATTGACAATATTTTACAATTGGCAACATCAACTGTGCAGACTCAAGTCGACAGCAGAATAAAATTCACATAGAACAAGCATGACTTCAACTTGATTGATCACAAGAGAGAAATTTATACGTCTAGATTCTCGATTGACTCTATATATAAAGACTAAGGATTTTTTTCACACACAAATGTCACTTTAATAAGACTGATATCGTATATATGATTATGGTTTAGGTTTTTTGTTTAGAAATATTTCCTGTTAGCTGTATATTTTATCATAGATACATAGCCTATTATACTTACGTAATTTGAGAATCTTATATAGGCCTATGTACCTTGACATTGAGTGATTTATTCAACGTAAAGAAGGGTATATATATCATTGTTTGATCCAGACACTAGGCCTACTAGAACTATGGTATCCTCCAAGATCAGGAAAAGACAACTTGAAGAGAAATTGGGATTAACAAACGATGGATTGATTACCAGTAATTTCAACCCGGATATAACTGGTATAGTTTGGGATATTTTACATGAGAAATTCAATCTTTTTACTCATCCTCGACTAAAGGATGAACAAGAGTCCGATTATGTCTTCTTTTTGATTGTCAGAAATATCCATGCTTCTATTTGGGCGATTCGTGATGATTATTTAAACAATATATCCACGTTGGTCTCCAGAGAGTATGTTTCAGCTTGCTCATTGGAAGAGTTTCTGAATGAAGAACTACAAAGCGTTATTCGGAGGTATCATGTGATATACGAAGAGATGGCCAATCGATATATGGTACAAGCTGATCAAATTCAAACCTCTCAAGTAGATTATGATATTTGCCTGTATATTGGAACCTTGACTCTTCCGGAAAAGTCTCTAGACGTCATCATGGCTATGATAGCAGACAAATCGTACATGTTGTTGCAGAGCGATTGCTTGGAATACTGCAAAACATTTGTATACACGTATTTCGATCTGATAGAAGAGCAGATGGATGAAAATCAGACAGCAATTTTGGAGAAATTGACTGTTACCACCAACATTGTTTCACAAATAAGTGAGCGATCAGGGCGTCAGAAACCATCATCTGGATTCTCAATACGGTCACTCTTTCACTCAACTTTTCTTCATGGATTTCTCGGTGTGTTATTTGGAAATTTTGCCTGGTGGTTAATTACTAGATATATCAATTTTAAATAGTCTTAACATTAATTGGTTTTACCCCATTACATATAATAAGCCTTTGTAGCCTATCTGTTGAAATTAAATTTTCATTATTTTTTGTTTTATTTCGGAAGAAATAATAAGACTCATGCTTGCGACGATTTTCTTAATGAAATTCTTGACATAAAATGAACTCCACCAGCAGCAATGGGCAAATATAATAAAATCCAAATCGTATCTATGGTCAGAGGGGAGGAAGATCACGAAGCTCTTAGAATCTGTCTAAATCTGTGTTTAGGGGTTCTAATATTAGCCTATACTAAAACTCGTACTACTCATATTTACAAGTCTGATATCAACGAATTTCATATGAAAAGGTGTTAAGTTCCTATAAAAACTAACTAGATCAAAGAATAAGTTAGATTGTGTTGTGGTCATAGACATCTGGGATGTCTCTTGTTGAGGTCATCTTATTACGGATCAATGTATTCGATGTGGTCTGAAAAGAATATGATTGTCTCCCTTTGAGTTCGAACTTTGAACTTTGGAGGTGTGACCTGCAACTGAAAGTGAAAGTATTTGATACGGAAGAGCAAAACATAACAACATTATCAAACATCCAAATGGCATCTGCAAGAGCAGCGTAAGTTTTTTTGCCTTTACCTCTATTTGTCCTGTCAAAGAAAAAATAATAATGTTGTTGATGCATTATGTTGATGGATTAAGAATGAATGAATTGAGCACAGTCAGTGTCAACAAAGCAAAACAGGTTTTGACTTGGACAACTCTGTGTTACAGCCATTCCCATGGACATGTTTCTATGTTCAAGAAACTGACTTTTTTCCAACTAGTATTTTCAAATATTTTGTTTATTTGCCTAATGGCCTACTAACCAGTAACTTACAAACCAATGGAATCCAATGTCAGCAATGGACAGATGACTGAAATTAAGCTTTTATCAACTTATGTATTCCATTAGTTCTGTATTTCAGACCAGCCTTTTGTCGTGGTACCCACACTATGGAGGTTCCAATGGAATTATTTAAACAGAATAGAGAAAGATTATGTGAGAGACTAAGAAAGAATAGTAAAGTACCGAAAGGAGCCATTGTTTTATTGCAAGGTGGAGAGGCAGAGACTCGTTATTGCTCTGATAACGAGCCATTGTTTAGACAGGTAACTGACTGATTGCCTAATCTCATACAACTTTTTTTGGGGGGAAAACAAGAAAGACCTATTCTAGAGAACAGAACACATCTATATGGAATGATTGACATATGTCATATTTTGCAGGAATCGTATTTTCATTGGACATTTGGTGTAGAGGAACCTGATTTTTATGGTGCTATAGAGGTAGACAGTGGAAAAACTATTCTATTTCCACCTAAATTACCTGACTCCTATGCTGTATGGATGGGAAGGTATGAAATTTTTAATTGCTCAAATCCATCAAATTATTGCCAGTGCTTGTATTGAGGAAATATGAAATTGAGACATTAGTGGTTTTATAATGCATAGAGAAAACTTGAATTTGAGCTCCTGTGACAGGTGATCTTAATGGGTAGTGCTTGCTGATGCTGTTATTGAGCTCTATCAGCTGGTAACTTGACCACTATAGATAATTGGTGAAAACGTATATTTTATTTACAGATTATTAACAGCTGAAGATTTTCGTGTAAGATATGGTGTGGATGAAGTCTGTTTTTCAAATGAGGTAAGGCACTAAAAGCTTCTTTATTTCACAAATTCTGGCAATCTTTACAAGATTATTTGTTTGTGAGAAGGTTTTAAAGAAATTCTGGCTTTCTATGATAAAAATAATCATACAGAAATGTATTTTCCTTTCAGATATTGAGTGTGTTGAAGTCAAAGAAGCCTTCTTCTCTTCTCACCTTGGTAAGTAAATATTTTTCTGTAATAGCAGAAATCACAGACAATAAAAGAGAAATTGGAATTGTATCAAATAGGAGCCAAAAGTGGACAATTGACAAACATTCTTTCTGTTTTAGTTTTCTCTCAATTTGAACAATCTATTTTTAGTATGGTTTGAATTCTGACAGTGATAAATACAGTAGACCTGCTGCCTTTGATGGTATTAGTTAGTAAGTAAATCTTCTATCAGCAAAAAATCAACAACAATTCAGCCATTATTCAGAAGATTTAGGCATTACTAATGTGTAGCTTTTCTGACATTGCCCTGGCTGATAACTGCAGATATTGAAGCTTAATAAAGATCTATAATTTTCTGAATACCAGATACCAGGCCTATTTTCTCATACAATTATAATGTGGAATATTTTCTGAGAAATATCACATAATACAAAAAAGGTTGTTCATTTTAAAAATTTGTTTAATTTGTAGTTTTACTGTAAATAAAGAATTGTTGCATCCAGAAATTTCAGAATGGTAAGAATCTCTTTGATTTCGTTATCCAGATAATATGATGCCTGAGGTGGTATACAATACTAATGTATTATGCACATTTCAACCTGATATGGCAGTAAAAACCCACATAGGTTCATATTCCCACATTCATATTTAATAGAAATTTCTATAGACAAGGAAGGTATTTGACAGTATGATATGGACACGTCTAATTTTCTTACTATTCTCCTGTTTCAGTCGAGTATTCAGTCAGATTTAGAACTACAAGTATTAAGATATGTTAATAAGATCAGCAGTGAGGCTCATAAAGTGGTAAGTACATGATTTTGTGAAAAGTTGTAGAGGGGGGGGGGGGGGGGGGGCCCT